CGCTTTGCCTTTTTGCTTGCCTTGGGGTGTTGCGAGTTTCGGGTTTAAGGTTTAGAGTTTAAGGTTTAGGCCTTTCATATGCTTTAATTGGGCTTAGGGTTAAGGTTTTCGGGGATCAAGGATTTAAGGCTAAGGTTTAGGGTTTTGGGCGTAGGGCTAAGGGTTGAGGCTTTAGGGCTTTGAGATTTATAGTTTAGGGTGTAGCTCATCTTCATCATCATCCATCATCGCCATCATTTCCATCATCATCACTCACTCACTCACAGAGCGCTACGACCATGAGGTCGCATGCGATGGTCCATGTCCGTCATAGGAGGGAACTTCGTTTGAAGACCCAAAAACAGGAGGCCGGGCCGACAGCCCCTGCACCTCCAATGCCCACCGTGCCGACAGCGCAGCGTGGGACCTCTCATTATCAAACATGAGAGTGTAATGTGAAACGAACTGAAACTGAAACAAACTGCAGCGAACATCAGCTGGGGTCAGCAATGGCAAGTGTGCTGCACCTGGCAACTTGAAGTGAGCGTGAAGACCGTCGCATCTGAGATCAAGAGGAGCGCGCATGCATTTTCTAGCGACCTGAGTAGACAACGAAGCCAAGTCCCTGGAGGAATTGCACGTCTGCAGCAGCCAGCAACTCCGGGCTACGTATGTGAAAGCCAACAACCACGAGTCTGGTGCCCTCCCACTGCATGGTAGCATGATGCGTACGTGGACTGAACTGCACACATGGCCTGGAAAGTCGAAGCAAGCGCCCTGACATGCCCTCAACCACATGAGCACCAGATGAGTCAGCCAGCCGCAACTCACCACCTCGAAAGCTAGTGAGTGGCACAAGGATATTCTCAATGGAGGGGAAGTTGTTGAGATCACGATGTACTTCTGACCGCGCATTCAAGACTAGAGTAGCCGAGGAGAACCACGCCCCCGGTGCAACGCTTCTGAGAAGCGCCGCAAGCAAAGCTGAGACATATCGAAACCCAGTGGCATGCAACATCGCCCCAGCAGAATTGCCGTACACAAAAGCGCCTGTGGTAAACAGACAAGAGCGACGGTCGTTCTCTCCAGCATGGGCCTGAAAGTCACGCAAGCTTGACAGAAGATGCTCAGTGAGCCGAAGAATCTCCTCTCCTGTGGTCCAGCCGTTTCTTAGTGCACTAAGCGCCATGCGTTCACTAGGATGAGCCGGATCCAAAGCGGAGAGATCAATCTGAGCAGGAGACTGAATGTTGAAGCCGTAGTCCTCTGAAGATGACCTGCATGGGGAACGACGTGGAGAGGGGGAATATCCGGAGAGACTGTCGTCATACTCGGCCACTGATTCGGATTCCGATGTCTCTGGCGAGGGAAAAGTTGGCTCACTGCGCTCTAGCACTGCCGCCCCAGGTGCAGCCATGCCATAAATAGAGGGCGCCTCCAGGAGCGCAAGAGAAAGCCATTCCTCATAGTCCACGTTGGGTGGTGCCGGCGGCGCAGGCAAATGAGTATGCCACCCTTCATGCTCCATGCAGAGTGATGAGGCAAGCAGCGCAGGATTTGAGCATGCCAAAAACTCACACCAAAAGATCACAGGTTCTCAGGTGCGGCACTCAGCATACAAACAGGCCGTGTCCGCGTAGCTGATGGATGGTGAAGCCTGGGTTAGCACGAGTGAATGCGGGGCAAGAAAGCAGCAAGCTCGACGGCATACCTTGTTGCAGTTTTGGGCGAAGCGGCGCATGCAGAGCAAATCCAACCCTTGAGCTTCGCCAGGGCCAGCTACATGAAAAGCCATCCATCAACTCAAGCTCTTAGCAAGAGTGTTTGCCAGAGCAGATCTTTGTGATCGGTCGGTCCGGATCTGAGCAGCAATCAACTGAGTAACCGAGCATGTGCAAAGCGAAGCAAATCCTGACAACATCTCATCCGTAGCCTGGCCACGTAGAGGTAGCTGAAGGAGAAAGCCGACGCTGTCACCCTTCATGTCTTGAGTCACTGGCCTCAAGGGATGAAACATGGAGATGGTTCCGCTTGTTTTGGCATGCTTGCCGATGCTGTCCAGGGCTGCAAGAATCACGTCGTGAGAAAGGGGCTCTTTTGCCGTGTCAACCGTCAGAGACTTCGAGTTTGACCGAATGAGCCCAGTCTTCGTGCTGAAGCAGAAGGCGAGTCACGCCCGAGAGAGCAGTTTTAAGCTCTTTCACTTCGGAGGAGCTCCAGCCATCCGACCACTGCTGATCCTCCTTTGAACGCGCCCAAGTGTCCCGACCGCCTTGCCGATTGCTTTTGACTCCATGACCCTTGCCAGGGTTGCCCTTCTGGTTGGACCTATGCCACTTGGATGGCTCAGCGTCATCCGCCCCAGGGTCACGAGTGTGCTTGGAGCTCGCTTGAGTCTGTGGAGCGTAGGTCGCCAAGAAGTGTGAAAGAACCTGCCACGAGAACTGTCTTTCCCTACAGAAGCGGCATACAGGTAGTCCAAATAGAGAATGACGAGCTCTGTCAAACTTTGGCTTGGACAACTGATGGATCTCTGGGTGCCGAGAGTTGAAGTGCATGTTTAGGCTCTGCCTGCTGGCAAAATATAAACCACAACAAGGGCAATCAACAACGCCTCCCTCACCTTCAGGGACTCGAACAATCTTGGAGAGATCCTCTTTGTCGCCCAAAATCTCCAGGTTCCTGCCCAAGAGCTTGGCACGCTCCAGCTCGTGTTACTTCTGCCCGGATCATCAGCAATGGAAGAAACAAGAGCTCGACTCCGGCCTACCAAGTCAGCATGAAGGTCAATGGACGCCCGCTCTAGGACCGCCAAGTTTGAAACCCCCTCTTCATGAATGCAAAGAATTTTGCGAAGATGCTTGCAAACACAAGAAGAGACAAGCTTAAAGCTTGCCTGAGTCAAGCCAACTCCAATGAGCCCGTAAAGCAAGCTGGCAAGCGCACAAGCCTTGTAGATGCGAAGCTTGTGCCTCGTGCCGAGCGGCCCGTTGATCCGAAGGACCTTATGCAAGGACTTGTGCGTGATACCAGCCTTCTTGATGCGGTACTTTGCCGTGGCGAGCTCAAAACTCCGATACGAAAGAAGGACTCCAAGGTATTCGACTTCGTCCGTGATGGGAATCTGAAGCGTTTGAGTGAGTGCGCCTACGCAGTTTGAATACCGTAGCCCCATCCATCCACTGTATGAAGCACTGATGAGCCTTAGTAACATGAGTGCCCTTCAAGCTGCGTGCAAGGCTAGACTTGGTGAAGTTGATGGACATTTCCATGGACTCGAAAGTGTCAATCACAGTCAGAAGCTGATTGGCAGCAGTACGTAGGTCTTTGAAGCTGCGAATATGCCAGAAGCAAAAAGTGTCATGGAAAACAACGTGAGATGCTCCTGAGTCCATCCTTTGCCCAGTGCCTCTTCTATAATGCGGCAAACCCTAGCAGACCAGGCAGCAAAAATAATGGGGGCCACCGGACAGCCCTGCCTAAGACCCCTACGCGTGCAGACCACCTCGAGTGGAGATGAAGCACAAGTCTACAAAGCTGCTCTGGGACGTTGGCTTCCTGCAAGGACAAGTAGATCTCTCGATGGGGAAGAGAGTCAAATGCCTTCGCCAGATCAAGGCTGGCCATAAGGCCCCCCACCAACTCAGTTCTGTCAGCCCCTAAAAGCTTGGACGTAAGATCAATGGAGCAAGCTTCCAGAGAGGACCTCACCACTGCACAATGCGAACTTGCCCTCAATATGGCATCATGCGTGCTGGAGCGACTCCTATAAGCATATTGGGGGAATGCCTCCAGTCTGCCAAGAACATCCGGTTTGAGTTGGTTCTTAATGATATGCAGCAGAGCCTTCTGGTCCGCTGGCATAAGCCCAATCGTTCTAAGATGCTCCGGCCTCGACGGTGATTTGGCCGGCTTTGGCAGCCATGCAATCTGAACAGAAAGCCACTCCGCGGGTATGTCAGCCAATTGACTTGAGAAGCAAAGCCGTGAAATGTGCTCAAGCCTACTGCAAACAGTGTCCAAGTGAGCTTTCAGTACGGAGGTCTTCGGGGAAAAGGAGGGCACAGCCTTGGAGCGAGGAATTTTGCTGATGGCATCCGACCAGGCCTGAGCGCTGAAGATCTCATCACTCAAAGGGAGGAGCTCCGGAAGGTCTGGCTGCTGAGCGTTTCCATGAAAGAGCTTGCCCGCATATTCGGCCAGGATCTTGCACTCTGTCTTCCGATCAACCAGAGATCCAGCAGCATCCCGTAGCCGAGTTCTCTGTCGCATGGTCCTGGGAGGCGTACCCGAACAAATTCGAAGAGGATGCGGACACCGCAGCCTCTTCAGCTAGTTGCAGCGTTTCGAGAAGTTGCCGCCGCTTACTGCGACGAATGGATTTCCGCAGCTCCCTTTGCGCTCTGCAATAAACCACAACCTGCCTAAAAGCTCTAAAGAACCCCCCAAGGATGCAAGGCGAGCATAGACGCAGTCGCTTCTTAAGTTCCCAAAGGCTTAGAACCTGTCTGTTACTGCTCTCAAGCTGCGGCATCCGGGGCCGCATGGAATGCTGCTCCTGCAACATGAAGTCATCATAGAGCCCATGAATCCCCTGTTCCCCCAAAAACCCAAGCAGCTTAGGAACTTTCTGTGCAGGGAGAGAATTGGGCTTTCGGCTGCGCTTCCAAGGCTTCCAGCTGAGAATCAAGTTGGCCTGCAGAGGTAGATGCCCTGACGTGCGCCAACCAGCGAGGATGGTCTTCTCAGGCTTGGTCTGCTTCGCTACTCGGTCCGCAGAATGCTGCCTCACCAGAACAAAGTCAATCTGAGAGCGCCCCTTTGGATGCTCGTACGTGGCGAGCTTGCGCGACCACGTATCGAGAGCGCAGCTTATTCCGTCTACTTTCGCCAGCGAATCACGAACCCCAACCAGCAGTCCTGCCGAGTTTGGCTGCCCAGACGCGGAGTGAATGAAATGCCAGTCCTTCTTAGACCACTCCATCGTCTGACCCCAGTGGGTTTCCTGAAGAAAAATTACTGAGATCTGAGGATTGTAGTCCAGCCAAAGCAACAGTTCAGCCAACAACTCCTGCGATAATCCACTGCAGTTCCAACTAAAAATACGCATACGATGACCACTTGATGCTTTCTCTGTCCGAGGCGGAGAAGGCTTGAAGGCCACATTCGCGGCAAGAATCTTCCCCCTATACAAAGACAGTCCTGTGCGAGAAGCAATGGAAATGGCCTTCCGAATAGAACGCTTACGTATACCCTCATGCTGTGGTGAGACCATATACTCCTTGTCATTTGCTCCCGAAGGAGCTTCCGGTCGGACCAAGGAATCCCGACCTACCCTCGTGCCGGCAGACGTGTCTAAAACATGGATGCCCTGTCGTTCTGTCTGCCCCCGGACTTGGGACCGGGACGAAAAGGAGCTCGAAGCTTGCTGTTGTATCGGCGTGGTAGATAACACAGGGAAGCTGAACCTGTTTGTGAGCTCCGACGCTGGTGCTGTAGCTAGCCCGAAGTATCTGTGCAGCCCACTCATGAGTGGAAAACAGAGGAATGGGGATCCAGAATGGAGGACTCAATGCACTGATACAAAATGGGATAATGCGAGTTGCAGAATGCTCTTGCTCGCTTGAAGTCACTTGGATGAAGAAAGGATTTGGCTTCACCAAATAACTGATCTGCAGTAGAACAATCCAAAAGGGCCGAGGCCAACTCAAGACCATAAAGTCTCTGAGTCTCCGTTGCGCCGTCAAGGCACAGACGTTCGGCACACAGCTCAAATATGAAAATACGACAATGCAGAAGCGGAGTAATGGCTGCAACAATCCGCTAAAATCTGAGCACTCGTGGCACTTTTCCATCATCATCATCATCATCACCATCATCGCCATCATTCCATCATCATCGTCATCATCATCATCGTCATCGTCATACAATGAGCGGTCATGAGGGTTGCTGATGGTTCATGCATCCGGGGACCCCCATTTTACAGTGCTGCTTCCCCCAACTTAGCTGACAAATCTGGGCCCTTCAAACCAAAAAATGACCCTGGGAGCCCTCATTTCACAGAGGTTCGCGAACATTGCCCGACCCCGGGGGACCCTCATTTTACAGAGTCATTTGACCCATCTTGACCCGGGACCCCCGTTTTAAATGTAAAATGGGGCTCCCCAGGGTTGAGGCGTAATGTGAAGGGGGATGTGGCAGACATTGCAAGCGCTGCAACGGCAGGGCACATCCACAGACAAACATCACGGCTTTAGCCCTGGTGTGAATGTTTCACTTGGTTATCGCGGTGGCCTCTGTTTCACCGTTAAGCGGGCGGTCGTTTCTTTTGTGGTTGGTCGTCTGCATTTTTTGGGGAATTGGTATTTGTGGTTGCTGTTTTGGTTTGTTGTTGTTGTTTTGTGTTTAAACAAGTTGGTTGTAACAAAATCCTCCTTTTTGTTACTGTTTCAGCAAATACATAGTGGCTTAACTCATTTGCTTACCGGATTCGGACCGCAAGGTCATTTTCGTTGCAGGCGTACAACATTTTTAGAAGGTTTGGGTCATTGACAGCTGGAATCGATTGGCGACAATGGCGCTTCAGAATAAGATCGTTTTGACAAAAATAACAACATTTCTCTGTTTTTTTTTGTGTTTGGTTCTAGGAATTTAGTAATTTAGGACCAAAAAACAGCAGCAACAATACATGAAACATAAAAAGGCAAAGAAACCAATTTATGAAAAAAAACAAAGGTCATCTTTCCCTCCGATGTGGCCTTCTGAGGCATTATAAACGAAAGCTGATTCCAGCCGTCAATGGCCCAAACTGTCATAAAAGCTTGTACAACAACGCAGATCAGTCATGAAAGGTTGCTGTGCAATTAAAAAAGCCGATGACGACGCCGCTGAGAAATTGACTTAGCAAACAGACGTAGACACAATAGATTGCTTGGCTGTAGCAAGTCTGTCTGGCGTATATACGCGTTTTCGCTTATCACACTGATCGAGAACTGGGGCGAGGCGGACTTTATTCCACCCTACCAGCACGGCCAAGAATCGCCGGCCACCAAAGCCTAACGTTGGGATCGTGCCAACTACATATCTCGGTTTTTCAAGGAGACGACCATGAGGGGCACTTGGAACAGAAATCGAATCAGTCCATTCCAATCGGTTGTGCGATGTGCTTCAATGTGAAGGTGTGCCCGCTGTACAGGCGGACAAAACTCACAGGGAAAACCCTGCAGCGGCTTGGTGAAAATACCCAGTGGATTAAAATTAAAAGGATGTGCTTGGGAACGACGCATTTGTAGAGAATGTCACGGTGCCGGATTCCCGTGCAGCCGGGTTTCGTGCTTGTTTGAGTCCGGGAGCAGGGAATGGAGGTTCGGGCTGACAGGTGGATGCTTACGGATAGTTTTGCCAAAAAGGTCTGAATTATGTTCTTGGGTGAGCTTTTGGCACCGTTTTAAGGTCGCATCCGGCGATCGTCACCCTTCCCCTTTTTGCTGTGTGTCACAAGATTTTTGGCTGTATCGCTATGCTTGCATAAGTCCTGTGTGGTTTTGCAGCCGGCGTGAAATTCATGTTCACATCATGAAGTATCATGAAGTTCTTTGTCTATGAACATCTCGAGCACGTTGTGCCCAGACGAATGAGTGCTCCCAGTCTTTCCTGCAATCGAAGTGGTAGCCTTGAGTAGTCTATTTTTGCAAGCGTAGGAAATGCGTACCTTGAACGTTGGAATCGTGTTCTTGCCCTGATCCTTTGCATTTGTCCGGGCCATCACATTCCAGCCAGTGCCATGCGTATTTGTTCGTAGGTTGTTGCCACAAAAGAACTTATGTTTCCACACAGTCTTGCCATGCGGGGCCAGAATACATGGGGTGAATTACGATGTCCTCAGATATGCTGGCGAGCAACATGTCTTCTTGTGCTGCTTTTGTATTTTCCTGATCATGCCTGTCAATTCCATATGGTATATTAATGAACTTACAGTTTGAGATTGCGCAGTTTTAGACTGCTTTAAAACAGCTCCGTTCCGAAGCAGTGCCAGCCATGGATGGCTTGGGTGTGGACTGAGACGTTGGCAGTTTCTGCGGAGGACAGGCCGGACCCCAATGGCATGCTTTTGTCCGATGCCATGCACACAGGTCAGCACATCTGAGGGTTTCCGATGTTGGAGTGTTTTTGGCGTGTCGTTATCCAAGATGCTAGTATTTTGGAACACATAGCGCAACCCAGAGACCTCATTCGGTGTAACAATAGGGGCAAGAGGAAGGTAACATGGACCCCGATACACGTCTTGATAAAATCGGTCGTGGCTCATTTGTGGTAGTTTCCATAGGTATGTATAAGGGGTTCAACATACACGCCATTACATCATGTGTTTTCTTGGAAGCAGCCGTAATCTTCGCAAGCCCCGGCCTGTTCCCGGCAGGCTGCCGCACTCCTTGGCTGACAATTTGGGTGCATTTGTGGATGCAACAAAGGCAGCTTGCCATGTGCATGGTGGTTTCTTGCAGGTCAGAAATTGGTAAAGCAACGCCGCCTAAAGCTGAGGTACATGCTCATTTCCAAAATGTCAGCCAAGCCAAGACGTTAGGCGCTTTGGCGTGTGATTGACTGCTTGAGCGGATTTTCGAATCACTTTTTGTTGGGGTCTTCTAAAATAGGGCTTTCATCCTTAGGGTGCAACAATGATGTAAATACTGGGTGGAGCTTATTGGTGTGATGTCGTGTTATGGACATGTTTTCTTGGGGTTCTTTCTGGGGCGTTACGGCAGGTTGTGCAAATGGTGAGGCCAATCGCCTGGTCAAGTGTCTTGGCATGATGTGGAGCGGCAACATTTTGCGCTTGTTGCCCAGCATTTTTTTCGAGCCCTTTCTCTCGGTATGTTGATGATTGGCAGACACTTCATTCTTGTGCTAGCAGCATTTGGCTTGCGGGCATGTTGATGCCAGCTAGGTTCGCTGCGGCGGCTTTTCAACAAGCAGGTATCCGCCGCGAAATTTCAGACCAGAGAGAGTTTGAGGCCTTGTGTAATTTCATTGCTGTTCAGCAGTAGTTTGCATGCAATTCTGCAACTGGGTCTTTGCAGGATGGGGCTGATCAGGGCAGTGAAGCTCGCGCACGTATGTTTCGGCCTGAAATGTGGTTGCAGTAAGGACAGGCTGGTAGTGACTACAAATGAGTTTCCATGTTCCTAGTTTTGTCTCTGGTCTTGGGACGAGATTTTAAGGCAAACAAAGGCAAGTCGCGTTGCATGGAAAACGTTGCACGGTTTTTTGACATGTGAATTGTTGGGTTGGTCTTCCGCTGGGATAACCCAGGTGGAAGCTGCCATGCAGAATGGTCGCCGCGACACGGATTTGACATGCTTGTGCGGTTTCTTGTCCAAACCACATTCATGTTGCCTTTGGCACCACGTTCTGAATAGATTAAAAAAGCTTATTCTTCTAAGTCGCGCTCGCCACCATGTTGAAGAGGAACTTTCCCAGACAGATTTCAGCCTGGTCGTTTTGTCAGTCGTTTTCCTCAAAGCTTTTGCAGCATCGTGTATTGCTTATTGCATATGGTAGTTTCAGGAGGGTGTATTCATGTTATATTGGGAAAATGGAAAATAGAGTGGAAACTACTGTTTAGAGTTCAGGGTTTAGGCAAAAGGGTTTAGGGTTACCTTTTTGGTGGTCCCCATCATGGGGACTACGGTATGTTGAGGTCTGTATTTGGGTCCCCTTATTTGGCGGAACTACTATATACGGACCTGAATTTGAGTTACCCTAAACCCTAAATCCTAAACCTTGAGATGTCGAGATCGTTGGCATCAGTTGTCATCCTGGGTCCGCTCTTCGGTCTGCCTTTTTGGGCATGAAAAAGGTGTGTCCTCAACACCATATGGGCTACGGACTAAGTTTATGGTTGGGGGCACTATAATATCGGGTTTTTTGGGGGGACCTATTAAGGGATGTACTGCAATTTTAGTCCAGGGCTTATATAGTCTTACTAGCATGAGGCAGCATGAGGTATGACGGACCATCACAACCGCCATGCTGGCCAAGCCCCATAACTTCGAGTCGTCGGTAGATAGGAAAATGATAGTATATGCGTAGTTCCCAAACTTGGGTCCCATTTGGGTACCTTTAAAGGGGGATATAAAGGTTTTAGAGGGGTATATAGGGTTTAGGGTTTAGGGCTTAGAGTTCCCAAAATCAAGATCCCATATTGGTACCTTTAGATATTAGGTGCCATAATAGAATCTATGACCAAAAGTGGCCCATCATTTTGAGCACGACCCAAATCCAGATGCAGACAACCAGTCAAGCCAACATTTTTGCAGCTGCATCCGTTGTTTTGCGCAGGTTGTCTTGGTCTAAGCGTGATCTGCGCAGTTTAAGTCCTGTATGGGGTGGGTGGTTGGGACATGGTGATGTAGTTTTATTTTGCATCGGTTGTTTTGCGCATGTTTCCTGGCTTGTGCGTGATCTGCGCAGCTTCAGTCCTGTGTGGGGCAGATGGTTGGGAGATAGTGGTGTAGGTTTTTGTCGTCCTGAGTCAGACACGTTTTGAATACTATGCACGAGTCCTAAACCCACAAGCAGAGGAAAATTGTTGGAAGCCCAAGCATCAGCTGCTGCGCGGAGATTTTAATTGCTTGTTCTTAAAATTTTCCAATAAGCTGAAGTTAAGTCTACGTGCCCATTTTCCCGACGGCCACAACCCCCATGAAGGAGTTTTATAAGAGGGTTCTCATCGATGCTGGATGTTGTAAAAACTGGTGCGCGCATCAGTGCGTGTCAGTGTTTTGAAAGTACATTGTCCGCGATAGCTTGCGATCTCGGCTCGGTAAGACGGCTCTGTGCGATGCTGGCGACGTGCGCGCATCAGCAGAAACTGTGCGCGCGTCAGTAAAACCTGCGGTTATCGTTCATATCTTATTCGCGATAGCTCGCGTCAGTGCGAAAGAACAGCAAGAGCTCGCGATGTGCTGGCGCTGGGACCGCGTCAGTAAAGCGTAGGGCTCCGTGATAGTGATTGAGACGAGAACGAAAAATTCAAAGCGTTTATGCCACGGCTCATTTGCTGGCGAGGTGGTGGCTGTGCCCGGGCCCAACGCAAACAGCCCATGTACGTGCAGGGTTGTTGTTACATCCAAGACCCAGGGATACCTTTTGAAGGAGTCCTGGACGTCCAGCTTGCAAGGCTTGAGTAAGTGCATGGAAAGCAGATGTGGGGGCAGCCCACTACATTAGAGGGTTGTCCGCACCAGATGGGAGCAACGAACCCGAATGCAGACACGTG